ATTCGATTCCTGTATCTAGCCAGGGCACATCTGTGAGTGATCAGTTTCCAGATTCGATTCCTGTATCTAGCCAGGGCACATCTGAAGAGTTTGAAGATTCGATTCCTGTATCCAGCCAGGGCATATCTGTTGACAACTAATTCCAGATTCGATTCCTGTATCCAGCCAGGGAACATCTGAAGAGTTTGAAGATTCGATTCCTGTATCCAGCCAGGGCATATCTGTTGACAACTATTTCCAGACTCGATTCCTGTATCTAGCCAGGGCATGTCTGAATAGTTTGAAGATTCGATTCCTGTATCCAGCCAGGGCATATCTGTTGACGACTATTTCCAGATTCGATTCCTGAATCCAGTCAGGACACATCTGAAGGGTTTGAAGATTCGATTCCTGTATCCAGCCAGGGCATATCTACTGACAACTAATTCCAGATTCGATACCTGTATCCAGCCAGGACATATCTGTGAGCAACCGATTGTAGACTCGACACCTGTATCTAGCCAGGGCATATCTGCATGAAGAGATTGAAGATCAACACCTGTAACAAGCAAGGAAAACATCTGTCTTTCTCAAAGCGCGCAAGTTATCGCTAAGGAATCTCTTATGCGACCGACACTTCCAAATGGCATCTATAAGCCCATTCCCGACAAGGTTCTGTCACGTCTCCAGATGGCATCTACAAGCCAATCTCCCTATCCACCATCTCTCCAAATGGCATCTATAAGCCCATTCCCGACATCACATTTGCTGATAATCCAATATGCGAGTGCAAATTTCCGGGCACTCTAGTGTCCAATCTCCTTTTACCCTCGAGTCACGAAAGGCAAACTTGTCAATCTAACTCTTCAGGTTCAAGAAGATTGAACAGGGGCAACTGTTGTACCCCAAAATTTTCCCTCCCATTCTCTCAACATTTTTCTCATCACAAGACCCTTGGAGCTCAAGATCCAGTTAGGGTTTCCTCTGCTCAAGACTTCTCCTTGCACTGTTGACCCAAATTAGGGTTTGTGTTTGCACAAAGATATTTTGACCTAAAATGCCTAAGATGACTTTCATGCTTCATGTTGGACTCCCAAGTTTATCCATACCAAGTTTCAAGTCTTGATTCCAAATTTTGCCCAGTCAATTGGACAGTTGACCTAGAAATCAGCTGTATTGGGGAAAAAGTCAACTGTGGCCAATTGACAGTCAAACCTCATAAAAATTGATCCACATCAACATTGTGAACTCATATGGACCATTTGATCAAGTTTGGATCATAATTCCACAAGAAATTTGGTCAGATCACCAAAAGGGCAAAATGGTCATTTTTAGGGTTTTGACTGCACAAAGGCAATTTTTGACTGTTTGACCTGGCCAATGGTGAACCAAGCTCACATATGGACTCAAGGACCCCATGGAATTGTCTTGACATACTCAACAAGTTCAAAAGATCCCAAATGCACAAGATTGACAGTTGAATTTCCCAGTCAATTGATCAATTTTGACTGTATACTGAAAAGTCAAACTTTGACTTTTTGGTCAAAATCAAGTGTCAAGATTCATTTTTCATCAAAACATGCCAAATCATGAAACTTGTTCATCAAGAAATCAAGAATTGCAAATTAGGGTTTGAAATGAAGATTTTTCATAACTTAGAATTTTTCTAAGTTATGAAAAACCCTAATTTTTTCCTAACTTTGTCCCACTTTCTCATCAAGATGCATTTGGATGATAGCCTAATCATTATGGAAGAGATAATCTATTGTCGAGATAAGTTGCATTATGGAGCATTTTAATATAACAAATTTTTAAACAAGCGGAAGAAGAAGTAGCATTTCATATAGTAGCATTAGAAAATCAAAGATCACAATTAAATGAAAGGAATAGGAAGCAACACCATTGAAAAGTATGAAGTTGTACAAAAGTAGAGTTAAAAATATGATTAATGAATTTGGAGTAAATATATAATATTTAAATATTGGGTCTATTAATAATAACTAAACATAATTGACACATAAATATTTCAACTATTGACAACTCTGATGGATAGAAATACCCTACTTTATTTAGAAGGTAGATAAGAATTCACCCTTAAATTAATAGAAGATTTAAATAACTTTAAGGAGAGACTTGATTTCTTGATTTCTTTTGGTTGTTGAGACAGAGACTATAGTGCATATATAAATACAGTAAATAGAAAGATTATTTTGTATCCCTGAATATAATTCAGATGATAGAGTTATTACATTATGTATTCAAGGATTGGAAAAAAATAAAGACAATATTCTAATAAAGTCTATGTTTTTTTCGTCTATAGATGAAATAGTAAATAAATTTTGGCATTCAGCTTAACAATATCGATATTTTGTTAGTTAAGTTAAGCACTTAGTCTTGTGAATACATTTATGTTTTTTCTATCTAAACAAAGTAGGCAAAATAACATCATTATTTTTTTTTGGTAAATGATAGAAAAATAGCTAATGTATTATTTTGTCTTTGCAGTAATAATGAGAAAAGTTCTCCGAATGTCGATCTCATGGACTATGTATAAATATGGAGTTCGAATTATTGTTCAATTAAACAAAAATTAGAGTTTGAGTTTGATTTTCTAAAATAAAACAATCGCGAATAAAATAAATAGATGCCAAAGACTGTTTTGACAGATATGAGTAACATATTAGAAAAGATGTATGATTTGTCTTGTAACTACTTGAATTCTGATCTCTTCAACAAATTCATATCCTTCAATTACCAACTCTTTAGATTATCTTTCGTTCTTAGTGGGAAAACCGTTAACCATTCATCCTAAAGCCTAAGTCTTTAGAGATATATGATGAAATCAAGTCTTTATTTTATCAATGGTTAAATATGATAACTATAGGGTATCTCTAGTCCTAAGTGATATCTATTATAGCCTAATTATACAAAAACCTTAACAATCAAGGTCCAGTTGGTTGTTAACCATAAATCCATCCTAATATAGACAAAATATAAACATTACAAGGATTGGGATGAACTTTGATCTTCAATTGCTTCCGCGTATGAAAATATCACGCTCTGTGAAAACCTTGACTTCTCCAATCTTCAGTCGTGTAAAACTATTCTTCCCTCCAACAAAAGGTCAAATAGTCTTATAAATCAAATAAGGGTTTTCACTACTAACTCAAACTGGATCGAAAACATAAATCAGGCCCGTAAAACGACCTGAAACAACTAAATTTTTAAAGTCTACATTTTCGAGGCTTCTACAATCTGAATCAGCTTCTGACTTCAAAATGAAAGTTGTAGCTCTTTTTCTCAGTTTTTCAACAAATATTATAACGCGTCGATCCGATTCTCGTAGCTCCAGCTATAATTTTTTTTAGTGAAAATTGGTCAATTAACGCATTTCTGACAGGCCCGTGTTATGTGACACGGGTGGCCATGTCAGACCTCCTGAAGCGTGTCAGAAACTTTTCTGAAACTCTGAATTTTATATTTTTTCGCACTGATTTGTCCCGACTTATTCACGTGAACATGAAAATAGTAAAACACACAATCAACACATAAAAAGTAGCAAAATGAAATAAAAAATTTGACAATAAAAAGAAAAGATAACTGAAATTAATGGTAAATAACTGTGTAAAAATCATTGATCAATAAACCAACAACAAATGTTTTTCCATATGCACTAATTAGAGATAAAATTCATGGTTAAAAGACTCAAATATCTATATTGATAATAACGTCATAATTTATTTATCGTATTTAAATCAAACTTATAGTGTAAAATACGCCATAATGTATTTATCTTATTTAAATCAACACGTCAACAATCAAACCAAACTCCTCACAAAGATAAATTCACAAGCACACAACAAATTGATCCTAATTTCCCCTACACAAAACAAACAAATCACGTTTCATCAATTATTCACAATAAAACTTGAATCCATAGTCACTGTCCTACAATGTTTTTAATGTTTAGAGAAATAGTTTATCAAAATAGAGAACTAATCCTTAAAAGAATAGTTCTTTATTGAAAAACTTATGAAAAATAATGAAGACATTCTTTAAAATAATTAACATTCATTCTTAAAAATAGTTCACTAATATTGAAACTGTCATTTATAAATGAATAAAGACAAGAAAGCATGGTGGGATGAGTGAAGTAAAAATAAGGAATGAGGTTAACATTGATGCAAGAGTCTCACCTCGCTTAAGGAAGGAAGAAACATAAATATATGTTAGATATAAAACACACAACAAGCATGCATTTCAACTCGTACCTTTCTCGGCCTTTTGGCTAAGATCAAGTATAGTATTTGTTCTTATCAGTTTAATATCTGATATGTGAGTCAATAGTCCACATGATATTAAATTTATTTCTTGAGGGAGAGTGATCACTACAATAGCTTGCTATTGGGTTTCTCAAGTGTTCAAATTTATGATCTCTCAACACTTTGGAGTGCAAAAATTCATAAGAAGTGATATTGGATAGTGACTCTAGCTAAAGAAATCAATTGGTATGTTTGGTGGTCCTGTCACACAAAGAGTCAAGTTTGAACCCAAAAACTCTTTGGAACATAGCCGTGTGTTGGGCTTCGGTGGCTTCAGTTTTCCATAGGTCATTAAGAAAAGGTGTGGAAATGTTTGAAAATAAGCTTCCATCAATGACAAGATAGAGTCAAGGAAACTTTAAAAATATCACATACAGCAGTTCAACCAAAAAATCCCAAAACATGAATAACAGACAAATGATAGTAAGTAACTAAACAAAAGAATGAACCTATAAAACAAGAAAAATATATAAATCCTTTTTTCTAAACATGAAATATCTACTAGAAACTCCACTAAGCCTGAAAATATTAAATAGAGGTTTAATATTGTTTTTTTTTTTTAGAAGGACAGTGCCAAACTTGCAATAGCTTGGAACACCCCATCAAACCTAGTTCAAACTATAATCTTCTTTTCTGTTGACATTATTGCAGAAATCATATTTTTCTGTTGATATATTTTGATTTGAATGTAAAAACACGTTATAATCCAGGCATAGCCGAGCTGAAAGTTTCCACATCCCTTTTAGAATCCACGTACAAAACAACTTGCTTAAAGGCCAGCTCTCGCACTGACTCCAACGCTGCTAACATGCCTAATTCTTTGATATCAACTGTCATAACTGGTTGCAGCCGTGCAGTTTTGGCTCCCAGGAACATAACCAACTCCTTCCCATACACTGGTGTGGTACTTTGAGAACGAGACATCAACTTTGCACTTATATAATTTTGAGGAGGACGTTGCCATTTTATGTTGCACCTGCTGTCTTGTAAACAACTCCCTCCGATGTATTACATCTGCTGCTCACTCTTATTTATTGTACCAAATTGATGAACTCCTACTCCTCCATAATATCATAGCAAACATACACTATTCCTACTTTGACAGTGCCTTTAATATGTGAAAGATTTTCTGTCCAAATGTTTCTATTTAGCAGCATTGCATGCGCTGTGTCTCGACTGTCCAGATTTTGCCAAGTCTGAATGCTCTTATTGCACAGCAGCGGCACGTGCTCTGCTGTCTCCGACTCCGCTTTACACCAGTGACGATCAATCCCAGCCTGCACCTTTTTACCTATCAATCTTACACTAATTGGTAAGCAATTTTGGAAGGCGGGTAATGGATGATATCATAAGGTATACCCAAGTGGTGAAACCTACGTCATAATTTGTTGCATTGAGGGTCTTTTGTGTGGTCCCCTTCTATTCTAATATCAAAGATTAAGCCTTTTTTATTGTAATAACAATAAAATAACCTCATCAGAACAATTTCACAAAATCAGATCAAAGAAAAAGGAGTTGAACAATCGGAAGATAATTGACAATAAAATATGTGTAAAAGCATATAAGCTATGACAATGTTGTGAAGAAGACATAATCTTTAGTGTTGAGTAAGAACTTACTTGAAAAGTAGGATTATGAAAATCATTATGAAAGACAGTATCAAGATCATGAAAAATCCTATGCTCAGGTGTATCATCTCTGCGATCACATAGATCCAGACCACCGATAAATGTGGTTATTTTCCGATTATTCCCAGAACCTTGAGAGTCTAAAAGCACACATTTATGGTGATGCATAAAGAGGGTTCCCACAACCTAGACCAAAAGAGTCAACTTAATTGCTACTATACTAACTGAAAAGGAAAAAAACAGTACCACTTCCAAGTGAAAGTTTTCACCAGGCAAGAAAGAATGTTGCTGGGTATGATGTTCTTCGGAACTGTTCGCTGCTCTCTGAAACCAGCCTCACGCTATACCCTTCCATTGGGAGTTCTTCCTTCGTATGTTTTCTTGCTAGTCAGATCCAATCTTTAATTTCTTCGAGTTTTTGAATAATCAATATGGTATATTGATTTGTAAGTACCATGGACTCTGGAGTATTTTCAACTCATACCTTTCTGTTCTTTTTGATTGAGTTTTTGGAAGCATAATGTCAAACTTGAAAGGAATGAATAGAAGCAAGTTACTCTATCCATTTTGATTGAGCTCTTTGAAGGACAATGTCAAACTTGAAAGGAATGATTAGAAGCAGACTATATCAGCATCCAACATATAACAAAGTAGTGGATGTAAAAAGCAATTGAGCAATAGTTGAAATGTCAGGGAAGATATCCTCAGGACTTATCAAAGGCCTAGGAAAAATCCTCTCACTGTGTTCTTTATGGGCCTGCAATCTTACATAAGTTGGGAAATACATTGCTTAATGGTAGTTGATGAATTCCTACTCTTCCACAAACTCCATAATATCATAGCAAAGATACTCCCTTTCTCCTTTGACGGTGCATTTAATATGTGAAAGATTTTCACTCCAATGCTCCTACCTAGCAGCAGTCTGAATGCTCTTATTACACTGCAGCAGCACCTGCTCTGCTGTCTCCAATTCCAAGTTACACCACTGACAATCACTACCAACTTGCACCCTTTTGTCGATCAATCCTACTGGTAGTTGAGTCCCACGTCAAAAGAAAGTAAAAGCTATTAAGATAAGCAAGAGTATAAAAGAACTTGAATACCCACATTTAAACATACTTACCTGGATGGGGTCAATGGTTGATCATGAAGGATCATGGCTTAGGAGAGTGACCTCCATTGCACTTAGGAAGGGTGCTATCCTAAGGTCTACCCAAGTGGTGGAACCTACATCATAATTTGTTGCAGTGGGGTCTTGCGTTCGCGCAGCCCCTTCCTACTCTAGTATCAAATTTTCAGAAAAAATTTACTGATTTCCTTGTCTTCACACTGAACCCCTTGTCTCAAATGTGTTTACTAATGTTTATCCTTCATATATATAAACATTCTAAAAGATATGAAAAGACACAAACAATGCAAAATATATGAAAAGATTTTATGGGAAAGTTTAACCATTCATAACATATACAGAACTCAAATTTTTAGAGTAGAAAATTCTCAAGAGTGCGACCGAGCCATTTAAAGGAGTGTTGAATAAAAACAGGCAATATACCAGGGGATAAATGATTTGAGAAATCCTGCCAACATAGCTAGAGAATAAAAATTGATTTGATGGTATTGATAAATAGAGTTATTATAGTTATCAACTTAAAGTCTTCAAAACCAGAATTTAGAGCTTCATCAAGTGTAGAAAGTGCCCCTTGAATCTGTTTGAAAAATTGATTACTTTATTAATATATTGTTTGATTAAATACATAAGACATCAGGAGGACCCTATTTAAAAAACAACAACAAATTAACTTGGCTGTGTTTGAATAAGCTTAGTATATACCAGGATTTTCTACAATAATTTTCTTAGCTTGCTGGGTGGGGCACCCCTAATATGAACCAAAAAAAAAAGAGATGTTTGAATAAGCTTACCAGGATTTTCTACAATAATTTTCTTAGCTTGCTGGGTGGGGCACCCCTAATATGAACCAAAAAAAAGAGATGGTTCAGGGGCTAGGCTCAACAGGAACAGGTGTTGTGGGCTGTGGAGGTGCAGCGGCCTGTTATCCTTCCACTGTCAGGAGTAAGAAGTATTCGCTGCTCTGTGAAACCAGCCTCACGCTATACCCTCCTGTCTAAGATCCCCAAGACCCACGCCTTCGCACAAGTCCTGTGGGTCAACTCGCAACTTGGAGCGGGCAGGCCAGCATGGTGCAACCACCAGACCAACCAGTTAAGCCTTAGCCATGTTCCATCTCCTTGATGCCCCCACATGGGTCACAAGCTGTCGCTACTCAGCTCGGAGGACTAAGCAGCATGTAAGACATTTATAAACACTTGCTTGTGTGCTGTTCTACCCAATGTGCGACTTAAATGGATCAAAATTGGTCTAATATTAAGTTGGAACATGCTTTCTTAAATGTTGTGGTTATAGGACCGAATTACTCACATATATATAGAAGGATTAAATCTATTCAGAAAGTTATACGAAACTAAATACATTCAGCAAAATGATTCAAAACCAATGAAGAAATAGTTAAATGCATACCTGATTCAACTTAAGAGTATCAACAAGCAACATTATAACTTGTGAATGTTGCTTCTTCAAGTTCTGGCTTTGTTCCCAAAACAGAATCAAATTTCTCTAATGCTTCCTCGTACTTAGCATTCTAGCAGCATTAAATCCAGAAAAGTAATGGACGTTAAGATTATCAATAAGATGCCATTAATTATTTAGTCCTAATCTACATTACAATTTCATATAGAAAATGTTTTGTTTCAGATATGTCTATCTTAATTTTATAAGAAAAATTATATTCCTTGTTTTAATAAGTAAGTGAGTAATAAAGGAGAAGATTAACTGAATCCAGCTCATGTCTATATGTTATACATTGTTCTTCCATATTCGCCATTCGTTTGTTATAGTTGGCTTACTTGCATGGTTTTAAACCGACGTTACAGTTACGGTTATGTTGCAAACTTTTATATGGTAGGAAAATACGGAAAATACGATGTTGCAGATACCTCAATACTTTTATGTTGCCTTTGTAGAATCATTATGGATTTGTATTATTTGCAATTATGAAATCACAAAATTGACAGTCGTGCATTTTGGACCATCTGATCAAGATCCGATATCTCACATCCGACCTTGTAAGGCCGCGGCATATGGGGGATTTCCTGACTACAGGGGTTCAAATCCGCAAATGCTAATAATAAAATGTCACAAATAATGATTGTGTAAATAAAACATGAGATACTTTTGAAACTACAAACAGTGTATTGAAATTTCTTGTTGAAAGCATTAACAAAACATGCCTGGAGCAATATAACCATGTGTCCCAGCAAACCTTGTAACACCGAATTCAGCACTTTTTGCCTCATAATCTTCATCAAGCAAGATGCAGCTAGATTTTATATCCCTGTGAATAACAGGTGGAGAACAATCGTGGTACAAATAGCAAATCCCTATTGCTTGCAGCTCCCAATGGAATTTATACCTCTGATTCCAATGCCAATAAACCTTCTCATCATTTATATTTCTATGAAGAGCTTCAAAAAGATTACTATTTGGCATATACTCAAAAACTAAAAGATTGGTTCCTCCTTTAAAAAAACAAGCATAATTCTATGTCTGATTTTCCCAAAAATGTACATTTCTGCAGCTAAAATCCTCATACCATGACCTTTCTCTAGTTGCTTCACAGCCACTAACAAAATCCAGAATCATAAGCTCAACCTTTACCAAATAAGGTCCTACTTGGATAAACAACTCAAGTGCTATTCTCTATAACAGAAAATAAAGTAAAATGAAAGAGTGTGACAAGTGTTTATTGAAGTAGATAAGCTTAAATAAAACAATCGAAACAAACTCTATGCTTGAAGTAGTACCGATGAGAAAACAACAACGTATCTAGTTATAAAACAATCGAAACAAACCCTATGATTTAAGTCTAGAATATATTTGATTTGATTTAGTAACAAAATAGATATTTTGGGCTTTGGGCTTGGGGTACAAGCTCAGTTATAAATAGAGGGAGTAACCCTTATTTTTTGTAAGCAAGTCAATTAAGTTGTATTCACAGAATTTGCGGTTGTAAGTGAATAACAAAGTTTTCCACAGTTTGTGGGCAGAGAGAGACTCTGCAGAAAATAATTGTCTTTTTTCTTTTCTTTTCGTTCTCATAATTCATTGTCATTGATGAGAAATTCATCATAGATATTTGATGGATTTCCAACATCTGGTATCAGAGCTTTGTTTCGATTCAAGGGAAGTATCAATCAAGAACGATTGAAGAATTCACTATGACAAGTTATGGGAATGCAAACTATCCAGCAACCCTACCAATTCTGAAAGTTGACAACTATGAGAATTGGTGCAAACAGATGAAAGTTTTATTCAGGTGTCAAGGTCTTTGGGATCTTGTAAAAGATGAAGTCGAAGTGCTTGGAGAAAATGCTTCAGAAGAAGAAAAGAAGAAATACATAGAATCTGAGAAGTTGAGTTATAAAGCATTATTTATAATTCATCAATGTGTCAGCCCAAACAATTTCGAAAAGGTTAGTGATTCAGAATCTGCAAAAGAAGCTTGGGAAATCCTTGGAAAGTCTTTTGGAGGCGCTGAGAAGGTGAAAGAAGTGAGGTTACAAACTCACAAAAGGGCGTACGAACTGCTTCAAATGGAAGACAGTGAAAGTGTGATCGGTGGGAATGAGAACTGACTGTTTTGGAATGCTGGTTCACATTTGCGTTTTGCAAAATGTCGCGGTAAGCAAGAGTCGCCACCGTCTTTTATTTTCTCCAACAAGGAAAGGACAAAAGCACAGCAAAATTCCTTTTCGAGATGTTTCTCGGGTTCGGGAGGTAGATTATAGAAAGGGAAGGTGTTAGCACCCTTTCTATCCGTGGTTATCCACGGGCTCTTAGGTACTTGCTCACTATGTTTTCAAAAGGTTTTGCTTTTCTTGTGTTTGTGGGTTTTGAAAAAAGTTTGTTTGAAAACGTCATTTTAACTCTTGTATCAGTCCTCAAGAGTGTATGAAGTGTTTGTTTGAAAACTTTTGTCAGAAAAAGTGTAAGTGCGAAAAGTTGTTTTTGTTTTGAAAGAGCAAGTACCTTAGAACCTCTACCTACTCAAAGAAATTAAGCTGTGTAAATGTCCTTTAGACAGTACTATCCC